GTCCCTCCCCCCAGCCGGCCCGGCCCAGCCCTGATGGCCCCCATTGGGGCAGGCTGGCCGGACCCCCACCCATGCAGAATTTGTGCACCAGGCCTCTAGAGTGTGTGTGTGTGTGTGTGTGTGTGTGTGAGATTACTAAAGAAATACAGTAACTTCCTTGCCCTCGAGAGTTTTAAATTTGGGAGACAAAATATACACAGATAAAATACGAGGATAATTATAAACTACTGTATTAAGGTCAAATATTAAGATGTAGGTCAAAAGCATAATTGCTGTGGTTTATAAAGTGTGATCAAGGCAAGCCGTTATCAATCAGGGAAGTCATCCTGAAGGTAATGTTTAAGCCTGGTTTTAAATGCCTTGGATGAATAAAGAGGTTTTAAAGGGATTGAATCTATTAGAGAGGGAGTTAGCAGGTCTGACAGCTTGGAGGTGCAAAAGGCATCTGAATGGCAAGCCAGCTGGTCTGATCATGCCAGTGTGCCCTGCAGGTGTGCCTGGCCTGAAGTTTCTGACACTCGGGGTTGAGTGTGTCGTACTTATGCAAGGTTTACTGTGACTCTTCTGACAGAGCGAGCTGAATGCATACAGCCAGGAAGTCATTACCATTCATGGGGAAGTTGATCTCGTGCTGGAGCAGCTTCCTGAGTGGGTTACTGCTAAGCCAGCCAAGAAGAACCTGCTCACCGTGATGGATGAGGCCTACATCCAGCCAGAGCCCCTGGGGGTCGTCCTGATTATAGGGGCTTGGAACTACCCCTTCGTTCTCACCATGCAGCCACTGATAGGAGCCATTGCTGCAGGTCTGGTGTCAGCGTATGTCTTTATACCTTTTCAGAGGGTCCTGTTCTCATTGATTGTAAATTAAGGATGGTGGCTAATTAAGTACATTTGCTTTGATGGCATGCCTTGGTTTACACCAGGAGAATTTAAGAATATAAAGGCGTGAGTGGAATTGGAGTCAGGCATCCACATGCTAATGTGGTTTCAGTTGCCAGCTGTGGCCCTGGATGGACCATTTGATTCTGTCTGGCCATTTCTTCATTCAGATAAGGGCTATGGGAGCAATGCTGGCCTGGGTTTAAGTAAATGCCAAGAGATTAAGGTCTCTTTTCTGCAGGATCCAGAATGGCAGCTTTATGTTGACAAAGCCTGTTTGCCGAATAATTCCAGGGCAGAGAGGAAAGTCCAGGTGTGGGAGTAGGAGAAAAGTGATGGGAAGATAGAGGAGTGGGGGTGGTTAGTGATCGGAAGACAATGAGAACTAAAAAGTTAGCATTGGAAATAGAGAAACTGAGACAAGTTCTTAGGCTCAGGAGGAAGAACAGAATTAAGAGCAGCAGAAATAATTGGCGTACTTAGCCTGTACTGCCTGCAAGAACACCATTTTGGTAGCTATTAAAAATTCAATCAAGTATTAGATGATACTGTTCTGCTTTTTGCTTTGTTTAGGAAATGCTGTGATTATCAAGCCTTCTGAACTCAGTGAAAATACAGCCAACATCTTGGCTAAGCTCCTCCCCCAGTACTTGGACCAGGTAAGAATGCCTTGGCCGTCTTCAAAACATCTCTTTGTTGTGGGAAACGCCCATTTGATCTCTCTTCCTGTACATGTCATGGATGGCTGGGGATCAGTTTGCAGTTCCCTTAAGCCTCCAACAGTTGGCTTAATAAAAGAGATTGGCTCCAAAAAAACTTAGAACAGCTCAGCTATTGTGTTTATGCAATACATTTGAGCCAGTGGCTTCATGGGCACCCCTGCTACTTATAGATCCTCTTCTGCCTTTTGGCATTTGGATTAACCTTTGTTTGATCTAACGGGGTTTTAGGTGTATTCAGTTGGTGAATTATTTAATGAGGGACTAGTACGGTGCTGGGTTCTGACCATCTCTTAATGGAATGTGACTGTATAAGAACACTTCGCTTTAAAGTGGGCCTGTTTGTGGCATGAAGCTACAGGAGGAAATGGCCTCCCAAACCAGAGTTGTCCCTCGGGTTAGTGCTGGCATTTAAGAGCGTCAGCGTTGAATAGGGAAGATGCGCTCCGGACCACAGGTGCTCCGTCTCTGTTCGAGTCGGAGGTCCTCGCGCCACCATCACGGAGCTGGGACTGTTGAGTTCTATGTGGAATGGCTGCAGGAAGGAGCCCTCATTTGACTGCCTTTGGAAGGCAACTTGGAAATATCATACTTGTAGTTGTCCACGTGAATTTATAATCTAACTCCGGCCCTTGGAATAATATTGTTCTTTGTTGTCTTAACCACAGAACAGGTTTGTTCTAATAGCTGTGGTTATCTAGCTCCGAAGGATGATGAAAACAGAGAGATGTCGTGGGTTGAGTAGGATTAAGAACCAGAGGACAGAGGTTGCAGGACCTGCTTCGCCCCTCAGCAGGGGTAAATTCTTCACTTTCTGACCGTCCAGATGGGCATAGTAATGCCCACCCTGCAGTAGGATGAGGAACCAGAGGACAGAGGTTGCAGGGCCTGCTTCGCCCCTCAGCAGGGGTAAATTCTTCACTGACCGTCCAGATGGGCATAGTAATGCCCACCCTGCCTCACTTCGCTGTTGGGGCATCGATCACACACGCTCTGTAGATTAAGCCATACGCAAGTTAAAACGAAACAGTTGGGCAGCTGAACTCTGAAGTGAATGAGGACTAATTAGCCCTCCTAATTAGCAGGAGACCTAATTAGTGGAAACATGAGGTCCACAAACCAACTTTTACTTCATGCCAGCACCTCAGAATGTTCTGAACACATCTCCCTCCATCTTCCTCGTCATCTGTCCTCTGTCGTTGCTCTTCATGTCGTTTTTCAAATGCACCTTCTTTCATAGTAGTGCTGATGACAGCACAGTCCTGTAAGGGCTCAGCCCAAAGCCGTGGGACTTCTCCCAGTAACAGGCGAGGAAATTGCCAAAAACACGTAAGCTAGTAAGTCACAGAGCGAAGAGTCAGTCAGATCTGACTTCAGAGCGAGTGTTCCGCCTGCTGCGCTTTGCATCGCAGTCCTCAGCAGGCAGTTACTCGGTTCCTACCATGGGCTAAGCCCTGCGCTGTGTTGTGGAGAGAGAATGTTCAGGTTCAGACATTAAGTGGGGACCTGTTCCACAGTCATTCGTAGCAGCCACTTTTTTCTCACCTAAATCCTCAACGTGCACAGTCCCCATCTTACACGTTTCCCTGGCCAAATCCAACCATTTGCTCTCTTGTGTCTTCACTGCTGAGCTCATGTAGAAAACACTGCGCTCTCCACTCAGTCCCACTGGGGGTGATGGTCCTCAGATGCCACTGGACTCTGTCCCACCCTTGTCCTGCATCTGCTCCCTCTTCTATCCTCACAGGGCTGGTCTCCATCTTTTCTCGGTTTTACTGAATATTATATGTCCATGTTGAAGAAACTGCTCGTTAGGCAATTGGATTAATTTGGCAATGCAAATGTTTATCTTTTTTTTTAAAGATTTTTTAAAAATTGAATTGAGAGAGAGAAGGAGGGAGAGAAACATTGATCAGCTGCTGCCTGCATGCCCCCCCAGCCCCGGGGGGGGTGGGGGGCGGGTGTTTGAGCCCTGACTGGGAATTGAACTGGCAGCTTTGAGGTGGGTAGGACAACGCCCAACCAGCTGAGCCACACCGGCCAAAGCTGTTTGTCTTTCTCTAAGGACCTGTATGTTGTGGCGAAGGGTGGTATTGAGGAAACCACCGAGCTCCTGAAGCAGCGGTTCGACCACATTCTCTATACTGGAAGCACTGCGGTGGGGAAGATTGTCATGGCAGCTGCTGCCAAGCACCTGACCCCTGTGACGCTGGAGCTGGGCGGGAAGAGTCCGTGCTACATCGACCGAGATTGTGACCTGGACGTCGCCTGCAGGTGAGCTGGCTCCCTGGTCAGGGGGCTTTCCCGGCACAGAGGGGACTTTTCCTAACAGGTTGATGTGTCCTCTTTGCACTGGAACCCTCCGCCTCTTGGCCCGAGAGACATGAAGCTTTGGTGGTTGATGTTCTCACGGGTAACAGAATTCTTGCACAAACTGTCTCTTCCTGCCACTGCCAGCAGCGATGCGCAGTAGGTCCTCACTCCCTAGGAGTCACGGGAGGGGTCTTCTGTACTGAGATTATAGATCTACAAGAAATTCTACTTTCCTGCTGGTCGGTGATCCAGGAAGTAGGTAATCCGCAGTATTGTGTATGCCTAATAAAATGGGTACATTCCCAACAGAAAGGGCATTCTGTCCATTTCTTAGCTGAGTTCCTTTGTTGATAAAACCAGTATTACTTATCTTTTAACTTAGATTAGCATTTTGCATCTGGGAACTAGAAAACAAAAGGTGTCAGGTTCTCTCTGCTAAATCAGGTTTCGCTAGCAGGAAGGACCAAAACCCAGAGGGCTGTGTGCTCAGGGTGGTGTGGCTTCTCTTCCCTCAGAGACACGGAGCAAGGGGGAGGTAATGAGGGTTAGCTGGGGTCCAGGTTGCCTTCGTGAGCAGAAGTCTGCTTTTTTGCCAGAATATGGGACCCTCAGTTGGAGAATGTTCGTGTCCCAGACTTTGACCCATCCATGGGCACAGCTTTCAAGGGGAGTGGCTGCTGTTCTGCGTGCCTGAGCCTCCTGCCAGCAGGACTAAAGCCGCAGCCAGGAGGGCAGAGGCTGTGTGGAACTCTGCCCTCCCTCATGTCCTTTTGGCTGGAGTGGGGGGAGGAAGAGGGTGTGAGAGGCTACTTCTCTCTTTCCTGTAGCAGGCAGTGGTTTCTCTGCGCGCAAAGGACTGTTTCCCGTGAGTTGGCATGAGAATTTCCCCACTCCTTAGAGTACTTCACATCAGTTGGAAAATGTATTCCAAGTTCCAGCCAACTGATTTAGAGACGAATTCTTAAAATATTTTTATTTTTATAAAGATGGCCAAATGCCCTGGCTGGTGGGCTCAGTGGTTAGAGCACCAGCCTGCGCATGGAAGGGTCACAGGTTCAATTCCCAGTCAAGGGCAGGTACCTGGGCTGCAGGTTCAATCCCTGGCCCTGGTTGGGGCGCATGCATGGAGGCAACCAATCGATGTGTCTCTCTCACATCGATGTTTCTCTCTCTCTCTCTCTCCTCCCACTCTCCTTCCTTTCCACGTTCTCTAAAAATCAATGGAAAAAATATCCTCTGGTTAGGATTAACAACAACAACAAAAGATTACCAAGTAAGTGTTTGCACACATGTTAGTTGAAAACATTCAAACAACACAAAAGATGTAACAAATGAAGAGTAGACTTAATCCCGTGGCTCTGGGCTTTTCCCCTTCAGACGCATAGCCTGGGGGAAGTACATGAACTGCGGTCAAACCTGCATCGCTCCCGACTACATTCTCTGTGAACCATCTCTCCAGAGTCAAATCGTGCAGAAGATTAAGGAAACCGTGAAGGTGAGTGTGTAACGTGTCTGACTCCGCTGGTTTCATGAAGATGAGTCAGATCAGCTGTTTGCAGGCAGCATCCTTATACCCTCCCTTCCCCGGGAAAACCCCAGTAGTCTGTGTGACTACGTTAACTTACTGGCTAATTACAAATGCTCCCTTTCCGTGGAGTGTCTGCTGGGAGTAAGGGTAGGTTGGTGTTAAGTCCACTTGTCTAATTGATGGATAAACTGGTTAGTTGTGGTACATGCTTTAAAACAGCAATTTCAGCCTTTTTCATCTCATGGCACACAAACTAATTACTGAAATTCTGCGGCACACCAAAGACTATTTTTTCCCCCAAGTTGATGAAAAAATAGGTATAGTTTTGATTCGTTCACACTGGACGGCTGTTGTGTTGGCTGTTGTCATTTTTTTATCTGAAAAGCTAAAGGGAAAGAGGTCAGTGCCCCTTACTAAATAGTCAGGTATTGCATGTTTTAAAAACGCTTGCTGCACACGGGTAAATAACTATGTGTGTGGTTTTGAGAGAATGTTGCCAGGCCTTTGTGTGTAATCAGGTGGCATAGTGGTCATGCTAATTAAGGTTGCCGGTGGGTTGGTGTTAAGTCCACTTGTCTAATTGATGGATAAACTGGTTAGTTGTGGTACATGCTTTAAAACAGCAATTTCAGCCTTTTTCATCTCATGGCGCACAAACTAATTACTGAAATTCTGCGGCACACCAAAAACTATTTTTTTCCCCAAGTTGATGAAAAAATAGGTATAGTTTTGATTTGTTCACACTGGACGGCTGTTGTGTTGGCTGTTGTCATTTTTTTATCTGAAAAGCTAAAGGGAAATAGGTCAGTGCCCCTTACTAAATAGTCAGGTATTGCATGTTTTAAAAACGCTTGCTGCACACGGGTAAATAACTATGTGTGTGGTTTTGAGAGAATGTTGCCAGGCCTTTGTGTGTAATCAGGTGGCATAGTGGTCATGCTAATTAAGGTTGCCGGTGGTTGTGTATGTGGAGTGTTTGGAGGAGTGAGTTAATCAACCACCTATTTCTAGTATGTTCTTGACATGGTTATTGGTCTTCCAGGTGTTTAAAGTAAAGATCTCTAGCGAGGAAATCAAGGAAGGCTGTATGGGAGGGTCCTCAGTGCCTTGAAGAAACACATGGTTTGGATTGAAGAAAGGAATGGGATAGACCAGTGTGACGAGTTCCCCAGTGGGAGGGGTCACTAAGCCCCCTGGGTGGGAGAAATTACTGGAACAATCGTTGTTCACTTGACAGGTGCTAACTGAGCACTGAACAGAAGGGTCAAGAACAGAGAGCACCGCTTACGATCCGAGAACTGACCTGTACACCAGGAGTTTAGGGAAGTGCAGTGCCCCGGGCAGGGCCACTGGGCCTCAGGGGCCAAGGGGCTTGGACAGAAGTGATGGGACGGAAGATGGAGCCAGGCGAGGAGAAAATGAAAGGAGCATTGGCCAGACTCGGGGAATGTGAGATGGCAAAGAGGGGATTAAAAATCCCTGTGAGACGATGAGTCCTTGAGAATCGGAGAAGTCGTGCTTTGTTGAGAATGGTGACGAACTTGGCTTCAAAGGAGTAAGACCCCGTGGCCTTTGAGACATTTATTCTCTGAGCACAGTTCTCAACTGAGGTCACCAGGGAGCCATGTAGGAACAGTTCCCGGTCCTCACCCTCCAGCTGTGGCTCAGTTGGTCTAAGGTGCCACCAGCAGGGAAAACCGTGGT